GTCATGGGGATGTGGTGACTTATGCACAGGGAACGCAGGCAGCAATATGGCAGTGGAAATCCCTTCGGCGCCATCTCCGCTCAGAGGAGAGCCGGGCCCCCCAGGAAGGAGCCTGCCCGTGTCCTGTGCCCGCTGGGAGCGGCCTGTGGCTTCTGTGCACATGTCGGCTTAGATTTCAGAGCCCATCTGCTGGGGCCTTTGATCAATTCCTGTCCCCGAAGCGAAGCCAACGCGCTTACAGAGGACTTAAGAGCACAATGAGGAGACTTTCCCTATAATCACATACAGAACCTGGCACCAACACTGTAAAATAAATACTTCTGTCAAGGGCATAAGACACATTCAAAAAATTGCCCAGAAAGTAAGCACCCAAACACTTCAAAAGATTGAAATCAGACACGATCTTGTGTGTCCACAATGCAATTATGCCACGACGCCATGAAAACAATTTCATTAGAAAGTTCACACACTTGGGTATTGGGAAATGTCGTTAGAAATATGCTACGGTGGGCAGAAATAGCATGTGACATGGCAAGTATTTTCAATGGAAACTAACAATGTCACTGATGGACGCGTAGGCCGAAGGGATGAGATCACCAGTGTCTGACCGTTTTTCCCTGTGGAAGCAGCAGTTTCAGGTGGTTCGGTCGAATGTAATGAAAACACTGCATGTCAGGACTGGGATGATGACCTCAATGAAGTACTAAAAGAAAGTGTGTGTCACAAACTTGAGTCTACACGACCCGACGGTGACTTGATTTTGTCCTGAAAACCCTGCCACCCGTGAGAGACCAGGAGACAAGATGGCATTTGCAGTGACTTGAATGTGAAGAGTTATGACGGGCTCTATTTCCACCCCAGGTTCTGAGGCCACTGTCACAGGCAGGAACGCAGTGTCAGTGAACAACGGGAACAGCAGGAAGCGAGTGTTTTGTGCAGAAAACGTGGTGGAACGAACGCTCATTTCACCCAAACTCCTTACCAGGTTTTCAACCAACCAACCAACCTGTCACGGTTCCCTCGCACTCAGACTGCGCTTAAAAATAAGAAGATGGCACAGAAACAAGGCTGGAAGGCAGAGTGGGCGCTAACTGTGCGTGGTTTTGAACACACACCCAGCAGACGGGGCGGTTGTTCGGACCGCCGGGCCCTGTCACCCTCTGGCTGGGTCTGTGTGAGCCACCAACAGCCCTCAGCCCACAGGCGGCTCACGCCCACGTTCTGCGATGTCACGGTCGTTGGCTAAACACTGTTGGTGGAATGAAAAACAAAATGCATCTTTGTCCGAAACTGTAATGACAAAATGCCACTGCTTATATGTATTTATTTAACCTATTAGGGGATGACGAGGTCATGTCCCTGTTATATGTATTTATTTAACGTATTTGGGGATGATGGGGTCAC